TGGCACTTGTCTAGTCTAAAATGCATACTGATATCATTTGAGAAAGTTTCTAGTTTTTCCGAATTCTAGATCAGAATCTGATCTAGGTGGTTTCGAGTGGAAGCCATTATTTTAAATCATCCATATACAACAGATGATTAAGCTTCGCCACAACATTGTTGTTATTTTTGATGCTAAATCCTGAGTCAGTGGAGTTTAGCAGCTGAGATAGTGGGTTCATCGCTAGGCAGTACCAAAGTGGACTCAACTAGTCCCCCTGAAAAATACCCCGGTTAATACGGATATCTTTAGTTTCGATATAGGTTTCACCAGGTATTTGAAGGGGAATTTTAGTCTTCCACTTTGCCATTATATGCTTCCAAAAGGTAATGAGGTTACCATCGACTTTATATATTTTCAATATATCTATAAGCCATTCATGCGGCACTGAATCAAAAGCCTTCTTGGAGTCGATAAAGGCAATAAAAAGGTTTATTTTTTTGGTGTATGCCTGGTTAGAAATGTATGTTTGGTTATTTTAATCCTTCAATATTGGATAAGTGATTCCCTGAGTAAGAAATGGTGGTATTTCGACCGAAAGTTGGTTTTCCCAAAACTCATGAATTTTTTCTTGGCTTGGGTAGGATTTATTTGAATTTTCTACAGTGGAATTAAATTTCCTATAGAAAGCCTTCTCTGCTTGCTCAAGAAGTATATTGTCACATTTCTGATTGTTATCAATTTTTTATCTCCTTAGACGACCTGAGCAAACGGTCAGCAAATTTTTTGTTTTAACGTCTCCAGGCAGTGCTGAGCTGTGTTATTTTCTGGATCATGTTGGGAGTATCTTGGATTGTTCAGAATTATTTCTTCAGCTCTTTTAATTACTTTATGAGTTCTTACTTCTCGAATGTATTCCGTAATTTGTCCAATATCTCTACATACTATTTCAATTTTCCTCAGCAGTATTTTTCCCAGGGTGCAATTCTGTTTTCGGTCCTTCCGATATTAGTACCCCATGGTGTTCTTATCATAATGCCCATAATTACTTTGCCCCACTTTGCAATCGAATTTTGTACGTCGATGCGCATGACGTCACTTGGTAATAAAAGTTTATCTTTAATTTAATATTCTGAAATATATTTTATATAAAGTGCACACATTTATTTGTCAACGTACTAGATAAACGATAAAACAGTACTAAATCTGACAAAACTCCATGCAAAACAGAACATTTCTGGTGTCATTTGTCGCCAAGTGACGTCACACGTGCAAAAGAGATAGACTGATCGCGTATGCGTAGGTTTATCTTTAGTTCATAGTATCATGGGCTTCCACGATATAATTGGGTAGGACTTCAGTGTTCACAATTTGTAACAGAGCACCTAGTTTCTTATAATAGCTTATTTTTGGTAGCGGTGGTCTGCTAAGTGGGTTTGTTCCATTAAACTCTTGTACGGCATGTGCCATTCACTTACTAGGCTATCGTGCAACTCGTTATTGTCCTGCTGCGTATTAACAAGTTAAGAGTTTCTTGTACGAGAGGCTCAGGAATCTGTTCATTAGGTATTTCATTAGGGATTTTATCTACAACTAGCTCTTGGTTGTGAATATCCCGTTCGACTTTGCTTCTGATGGTATCGCGTCTAGTCTCTGGGAAAATATTAATTCTTATAATTACCCGGTATTGATCTGCTATTCACTCTTGTCGATAGCCGATCGTTTCTCGACCGAGATCCTGATCCTGAGATACCTGATATTAAATCAATATCAGATAAAAAAATAAATCTTTCAATTCCAAAAAATTACAGTGTGTTTGGTACACACTAAAGCAAGTTTCACCAAATTTTGTAAAAAAAAAATTTTTTGTAAAAGATAAAAATAAAAAACAAAACACTTAGTTTTTTGAATTTTCCACAAAAATTTTGAGGTTATGTGAAAAAAGTGTAAATACAAAAGTTGTAGATCTTTTTGTTACTTTTTACCATAGCACTTGTAGTTTCGCCGAAAATCGCGATGAACCGATTTTTACCCTCTCTTTTTTTTATCTTTTTTTTTAAAACTCACCCCCTCCCACTTCCCGAACTCGGATAGAGTGGAATTTATTTTTCTTCCATTTTTAGCATATTCTCTTCCTTTTACAATAGGTTTCATTCTATTATTTTTTTTTTACTTTTTACCTTTTTTAAATGCTTCGACACTAGTCTATATAAGGTTTTTACCAACATATTTAGTGGCTTAAAACATGTACCGGGTGGTTCAATAAGCCGATCTCTCGGTTATATATCAGAAAGTATTCATGTTATAACTTTGGGAAAAAAAATTCCTTAGTAAAAGTGGCCAAGAGAAATCGCTGGAAATAACTTTCAAGATTATGGATTAACCGCTAGGGGGCGTAACCTGCGAAGAAAATTTTGAAAACCAGTTTTTTGGGAAATATGTCCAATTATACCAAGTGTTAAATAAGTAAACTAGAAAGGGGCATAAATTCTGCACAAAGTTGTTCAAGTACTTTTTTTTATTTTTTCAAATAAAGGGTGGGGGAGAGTGGGAAAGTATTTGTGGATAAATACCTATAACTTTGGTTTGGATTAACCGATTTTAACAAAATTAGTGTCATTAGAAAGAGTATGGATGAATTAATTTACATCTACTATAAAATAATTGTATTTAGTTTTAATTGTCGTAGGTAGAGGGGACTTTCAAATAAAAAAAATTAAAATTTGTTTTTCTTCAAAATTTTTAATGGAATCACCTATTTATTGTAAATTATAATGGAACTGGATTAAACTCGTAACAAAATAGCGCAAATCGCATGTTAATAGCTTTTATCGAACTCGAGATTTGAATAAAAACGCATAAACATAAGTAAGTATAGTATTGACACACCCTGTATTATAAAATAAATTTAAAAATAAGTCAGTAGGTACTTTCAAAATATTTTATAGCAGAAAACTCTTAATGTTGATACCTATTTTGACCATTGTTATTTCATATGATTAAAAATTGTTTTTTGGAAACTAAGTAGGCTACGACAATGAATTTGACAGGGAGTTCATATTGTTTATTTATTGACAGCAGTTAAAATATGGTTAAGATGTGTTATATGTATTATAATTCGAATTGAAAATTGCATTTTTTGAATAGATATTAATATTGGTAATATTAGTAATTAATTATCAGTGGTAATAATTCGTGATGAGTATATCAAATTGTATGATATGATTGGAGTTTATTTCGAATATTACCAAAATGGCGCTATTGCCTCACGTATATATTCTGTAAGATATCCTGGCAGGAGAGATTGTGGCAAAGAAGTAGAGATTTCGGACTACTTATATGTGGATTCTGTTGAATTAAAGCAAGAACATTGATTGAATTATCTTCGGTCATAACTCTACTACGTCGTTTAAAACAAGGACGAGAAAAACTACCAGTTTCTCTTAATCTTTTTGCCTTTCTTTCAAATACTTCTTTGCCATAATGTCTCCTGTCAGGATATCTTACAAAATATATACGTGAGGCAATAGCGGCATTTTGGTGACATTCGAAATAAACTCCAATCATATCATACAATTTGATATACTCATCACGAATTATTTGTACTGATAATTAATTACTAATATTACCAATATTAATATCTATTGAAAAAAGTGCAATCTTTAATTCGAATTATAATATAGCACTTCTTAACAATGTTTTGATTGCTGTCAATAAATAAACAATATGAACTCCCCGTCAAATTCATTGTCGTAGCCTACTTACTTTCGAAAAAACTATTTTTTACAAAATAGGTATCAACATTAAGATTCTTCTGCTATAAAAAAATTGAAAATACCTACTGACTTATTTTTTAATGTAATTTATAATACAGGGTGTGTCAATACTATACTTACTTATGTTTATGAGTTTCTATTCATACCTCGAGTTCAACAAAAGCTATTAACATGCGGTTTGCTCCATTTTGTTACGAATTTAATCCAGTTCCATTATAATTTACAATAAATAGGTGTTTCCATTAAAAATTTTGAAGAAAAACAAATTTTAATTTTTTTTATTTGAAAGCCCCCTCTACCTACAACTATGAAAACTAAATGCAAGTAGTTTTATAGTAGATGTGAATTAATTCATCCACACTCTTTCCAATGACACTAATTTCATTAAAATCGGTTGATCCAAACCAAAGTTATAGGTATTTATCCACAAATACTTTCCCACTCTCCCCCACCCTTTATTTGAAAAAATAAAAAAAAAGTACTTAAACAACTTTGTGCAGAATTTATGCCCCTTGCTAGTTTACTTATTTAACACTTGGTATAATTGGACATATTTCACAAAAAACTGGTTTTCAAAATTTTCTTGGCAGGTTACGCCCCCTAGCGGTTAATCCAGAATCTTGAAAGTTATTTCCACCGATTTCTCTTGGCCACTTTTACTAAGGAATTTTTTCTCCTAAAGTTATAACGTGAATAGTTTCTGATATATAGCCGAGAGATCGGCTTATTGGACCACCCGGTACATCTAGATAATAGTGGGGATGGAATATTAATTCCGAAAACTTTCTGAGATGTAGCCCGATAGGGCTACATCTTTTATCATTATACATTTTAAAAAGAAATTTTAATTATTTTAATATTATACGGCCAACTACAGGAATTAAGTTTCCTTGTGGATGTTCCCAATATGCTCTATTCAAGGAATTGTTGGTTTATAGTTTTATATTCGTTATATTTTTATTCTTAAATTATAAATGACATATCCCTAATGTGTTATTACCTCACTAATGTTGGTATTTTTCTATTTTGTGATCTCTCTTTTCAATATCGTTAAGATTTTTCTTTCCACAGCGTAAAATTTATCGGCGAACACACGACAAAAGTTTAAAATGAGATAGACAGACTAACGGATTTGGAAAAATCAAACGTAATAGAGACCGTAAATTACCCAGGAAGCTCTCCATGTCGTGAATCGCTTCTAAAGTAATTGTACACTCAGAAAACTGATTTTTAGCTTAATAAGCAATGGAAGATTGTAAGTGCACTACAAATACATAAATTCCATAAAAAAGGAGATATTTCAGTTTTTAAATGTAGGGGCAAATTTTTTTTTAAACTATTAAGGCGCATCAATGTGGTTTTTCGGTATTATAAAACATTTTATTTTATTTAGTTACATAATTAATTACTATTTATAACTGGGAATAAGCCACAATTAAAGATAAAAATACGTTTATTGACGTTTCAATTTCCAATTCGGAAATCGTTCTCAAAATACAAACAGTAAATTAAACAAATTTTGTTTTTTGTTTATTATTGTTAATTAATTTACAATGCCACAAGAAAATAGCTTCAGAACAATATTAGTTACATAAGTTTTTCACTATCCTGTTGGTGTATTGTATTAAGCATATATTTCGTTGTTGTGGCTTTAGCAGATGGTCGCAATCAACGCTAAACTGTGAGAAATGTTTCTTTAAGTCTATCGAATATGCGACGAGTACGGAAATGCTATACAGAGATTGGTCTGCTTACTAGCTAATTCATACCGAGACTATATACAACGGATAAAGACGACCATTTTCTATTTTCAAGTGCTTTGAGAAACCAAACGGTTATGGCACTTTTATTTCTCCATATTGTTTCACTCAGGCATCCTGTTGCTCTGTCTGCTCAATTCGCTTTATGTGTTACTTCTGTTTCAAGTTCTTCCTAGCTAGATAGTGTGATGCCTAGATATTTAAACACCATCACTTCTGTTATCTGACCCTCCACCTCTAATTTATTTCTTATTCGTTTGCCGTTATACCCAAGCATTTTTTTGCGGGATTAACAAGTTGGCATTGGATCGTCTGCGTGGCAGATTATTTCAAGTTGTTTTTCTTCCATTTGGTATTTTTATTTAAATCTTACTTTTTTATTATTTCAGCCATGAGCAGGTTGACCAATACAAGACTCAAAGAATCCCACTTTCATATCCCATTGCCAGCCTTAATTAGATCAGTTAGTTCTTATTCTAGCTTTTCTTTTATTGTATTATTCTCGTGGATAATTTCGATGGTTTTGAATATTCCTAAAGGTATTTCTCTTGCTTAGAATAAGTGAATAACATCTTTTAATTTGTTATATTTGTTATATTCAGTTTGTTTTATTCCATTTATGCAAAATGTATATTTTTCATATCTTATGCAATTATCTAGAAATTTTGCATATTTATACAAAAAATTGCACAAAATGCACAAACAATGTTTATTTTATTTCAATATTTTTGTCTTCAATATTACCGATAGTACCTATTTTTTATTTAAACAAAACTTTTATTGAGTTAATACCTACTAATAAAACACATTTGGTTAATTTATATAAATTATTTAATTATTTGAGTTTTGTGTTCATTATTTCGTTTATCTCTTTTCTTTGTCCTCTGACCATTCTTCATGTTTCTTATTGTGTTTCATAGAAGTCGGGTTTCATCTATTTTGAAAAGCTCTGCCAGTGTTTTCTTTTTACTTGTTTAACTAAACTATTCGTTTTATTTCTAGTTTTATTTCGTTAAAAGAAGATTCAATGAAATTTATTTACAAATTACGACTGAGCACAAAACTACAAAATGTGGATCGAGAAAATGTATCAGCGGGAAAATTATACCAGCAACTTAAAAAACGCATTCATGAGGCTGCAAGTGAAGCTTTGAGATATAAAGACAAACATGAAACAAAAAATCAAGAATGGTGGTCGGAGAATATGCAAATGTTAGCCAACAAGAAGAAAACTGCTTATCAGAAATGGATGTCACCGAAAAAGGAGGAAGATTACAAGATATATCAAAATTAAATCGAGATGTAAAAAGAGAAGTAGTGAGAAGTAAAAATGAGATGTGGGATCGAAGATGTCCAGAGGTGGATAGGTATATGGGTGGAACAAGAGTTGGGCAAGCTTGGAAGGTGATAAAGTCTCTCCGGAGAGAAGAAAAGGAAAAATCTAACTTAAAAGTCTTACTGACAGAAGATAGATGTAAATTCCAAGAGATCGAAATGGAAGAAATATCCGAACACACACAAATAAGTGAGATAGCTAACTTTATTTTTCGCAGATGATCAGGTAGTCGTAGCGAATGATGAGGAAAATATGCACTACATGTTTAGAAAACTAAAGAAAGACTATGAAAAATGGGGATTCAATATGAATATGTAAAAAAGAGAGTATCTTAAAATAGAAGATGACGAAGATGATCTAGAGTTAGAAATTAGAAACACAAAAACATGCATTAAATACAAATATCTCGGATCTATAATATCTAAAGAGGGCACTACCAAAAGAGACATCGAAAACAGAACGCAGCAGGGAAAAAAAGCGGTTAACATTCTAAACTCTCTACTATGGTCTAAAGATATTAGACACGAAACAAGTTATAATTTGTGATGTTTAAGTTACCGTTGGATAGGTTATAACTATACTTGGTAGGATATAACTATTAATAATGTAAAACAACTACAAATTTAAAACATTTAAAGGGTTTTGACCCATATATTTTGGTGGCTACTAGCATGTACAACCGTAGTAGATACTCTATACCATTCCTGGTGCACTTTGTGGTGGGAGAAACCGGTTCCAATCAAGGTCGAGGTCGAGGTCAAGGTCAAGGTCAAGGTCAAGGTCGAGGTCAAGGTCGAGGTCGAGGTCAAGGTCGAGGTCAAGATCGATGTCAAGGTCGAGGTCAAGGTCGGGGTCAAGGTCGAGGTCAAGGTCAAGGTCAAGGTCGAGGTCAAGGTCGAGGTCAAGGTCGAGGTCAAGGTCGAGGTCAAGGTCGAGGTCAAGGTCGAGGTCAAGGTCGAGGTCGAGGTCAAGGTCGATGTCAAGGTCAAGGTCAAGGTCAAGGTCAACGTCAAGGTCAAGGTCAGGGTCAAGGTCGAGGTCAAGGTCAAGTTTGAGGTCAAGGTCAAGGTCAAGTTAAAGGTCACGCAAAGGTAAAGTGTAAGGTAACGCAAAAAGGTAAGGTAAAGATAAGGTAAAGCGCAAGGTAACGCAACAATCAAGTTCAAGGTCACGTGAATGACATTAAAGGTCATGTCATGATCTAGTTCCAAGTCACGGTGACAGCTAATGTTAGGAAAGGTTATTAGTATAATAAAACTCTTATTAAAAAAAATAATACCTTCTTAATTATTTATTACACTGTTATACATGGTTTTTAAATTTTCAAGCGCAGACTTACACAAATGACAACTGGATTGCGCCGGTGCTGAACCTTCAAGCTCTGTTCTCCACTCGGGACGATTAAAATGCACAAAACATGGTAGACGAGTCTGAACTTCAAAATCTTGAACAGCTTTTGTGGGTAATTTATACCAAGATCGTAGTAATTCCACCGGTTCCACACATTTTCTAAAGTATGGTAGGGTAAAATTTTCTAATTCTGCTTCAGTAAACTTGTACAAAGGTTTTCGCGGATGTTGAACCATTAACTTTGCTTTGTCACAACACTCCATTGCTATTAACCTGTTAATGTTCTTAAACATCAAGCAGAGCATATATTTGTTTTACGCTTCCACATTCTTTAACTACCAGTAGGTATATAAACACATACGATTTATTTAAATAGTATGATTTTAATAATATTTGAAATTATATTCTTATAGTTAACTATTTTAAATAAAATTGTGACTTATTTTCCATTTAAGATAGTTAACTATAATATGATTTTAACCAATAAAACCAATTTGCGTAATTTCTACTTAATTAATAAATAAAAAAAAGATATAGAAAGATAAATTTTATTTTTAGAAACTTAAAAACTATTATTACTACTAAATATTACTAAAAACTAAAAATAAATTACTATATACATACATAAATTACTTATTTTAGTTCTTTTAAAAAATACATTATTTTTTAAAAGAACTAAAAATTTTAGTCATATCTTCCTTTATATTTTGCATTAATGTTTCCGAATTTGTTTTCTTTTTTTTATTTTCTTTGGCATCGTTCTCAATTTTCTTCTCTTCTTTTAAAATCGCTTCATGCTCCAGTTGGCAGCTTCTAAGTCTTTCTTTCAAAATACTAAAAGACTGAAACTGACCGTAAATAATTGTATATTCATCCTCTAAGCGTTTTGAAAAGTTATTTATTCTATTTACAGTCCAGTCTTCCGTTGTTGAAGCTGCTACTGGAGGCTGCAATACATCAATTGTCTTTAAAATATCATTTAGCATATCGTCTTCTAATGTGAGATCGATCTAAGACAAAAAAGTATATTAGAATAATAATTTATTTAAAAAACAGAATGTTTCCAACAATTTAAACTTTTGAATAGATTTTACAACAACATAATTTTACAAATTTGCAATTTTACTTACGAAATAATTAATCAGAAAATGGAATCGAAAGATAGAATGTTTAAAACAATTTAATATAGCGTCCGAATAATAACATATAGATTTTAAGTAAGATAAAAAGTAACTTAAAAAAATAAATCCACAATATAGAAAACAGAATGTTTAAACAATTTAGGTTTATTTTATGCGAGTTAAAAAAATAATATCTAATAATAATATATAAAAATAATAAAACACTTACAGCTTTTTTTTGGTGTTGACTCTCCAGCAGTTTTAGTTCTGGCATAACTTTATCTAATTTAGCTTTCTTTACAACGATGTTTTGATGAATTTTTAAATTTTTAGGCATTTTGTTGTTTGTAGTTGTTTTGTAGTATTCAATTTTATTCGAAGACTGATAGTGTAAATGCACCTCTCTTCCAATATATATATACACCCAACCAAAGAGAAAAATTGCAAACAAGATCTACTTATTTTTAAAAATAAAATGTACTATAAAGGACGACAAGTACCAAGGTTTAGTAACTTTTATTTATTTATTTATTTATTTATTAACGGATATACCATTTTTACATTGGAACAACATATATATAAAATTTTACAAAGTAAGCACAACATTGGAAAATAATAGTAAAGTTTAACAAAATTAATAATTAACTTGAATACAAACTAATATCAAAAACTAATAATTAACTTCAATACAAACTAATATTACACAAATAGCAGTCTCTTTATCACATTTTTAAATTGTTCTAAGGACCAAGTTCTTTTACCAAGAATAAAAAATTAAATACGAAATTGCAAACAAGAACTGCTTATTTTTAAAAATAAAATAAACTATAAAGGACGACAAGTACCAAGGTCTAGTAACAAGAATAAAAATTTAATTGAATACACTTTCAGAAAACATTGACTGCAAATAAGAATTCAAAAGAAAAGCAATCCAAAATTAATGCAACTGTTTTATTTTACAGCAATATTTACATCGAAAAGTATATATGTATATTTGAAAAGAAATTGAATTTTTAAGATTCTAGTCAATGACCACTAGTCATCCTTTGTTAAAATCGCAATAGATTTGTATTCGCGTAACTGGCCTGATGCAAATAAATTTAGTTTAAAGCGTTATCTTCAAAGCATAAAACGGCATTCTAAAAAATATATATAAATTGTAATTAAGAAAAAAAAATCAGCTTTCCATAGACACCTAATACCATATATGTCTTACAAAAAAATTAAATTTATTAGTGTTAGGTCAATGACTATCAGAAACACATTTTACGTTCAAGACAATCGACCGCATCAACTAAGGAATTCTTGATTTACTCAACCAGGGGACCGATATGCGATGGAAAGGTTAACTTGAAAATATAGGGTGATTTAAATCGAAAATGTATATTAATATCAAATTTAAAAAAATGAAAAATTCTTAGACTTTCACTGATAGAAATAATAGTTTTTAAAATATACAAGGTAATTAAAATTAAATTTATATATAAATTAATCAAATTAATATCTTCCAGAGTAATGTAAATGAAAGATGTATAATTATGAAAATTTTTTAGGACTTTATTGATACAAATAAGTTTTTAACATTTACTAGACAATAAAAGTTGAGAGTACCTCTAAGTTATTCAAATTATTATCTTACAGAGTGATTCAAATGAAAGACGTTTATATAAAACTTTTAGGAATGTAAAACAATACTTTTTAAAATATACAAGGCAATTCAATTAATGTTTTTAGAAATTCTTCTTCTTTTATGTATATATGACTCATTCTTTTTTCAGTGAGCCTTCCGTAAGCCGTATTCGTGGTCTTGTCTTGTCAGGTCATGTTTCTGTCGCACATATCATTATTGGTCTGATGACTGTTTTGTAAATCCTGCTTTTCACATCTTTCCCAATATTTTTATTTCTCCATATTGTTTCGTTCAGACAACCTAAGACTCTGCTCTATTCACTTGTGCTTCCCCTTCCGTAGCTAAATAGTTTGGTGCTTACATAAATGTCTATTCTTATAAGCTATTAAAATATTATCTCGAATAGGGTGATTCATATTAAAAATGTGTAATTAGAAAGATAAGAAAATTTATACAAAAGCAAATAGAGGGAATCTTAGCATAAATGTTGAATGGTGGGGATTGAAAGGTCAAAGTAGTATCGTAATCAAAGTCAACATAAAGGTCAAAGGTAAATGCTAAAGTCAAGGTCAATGTCGAGGTCAATGTAAAGGTCAATATTGAGGTCAAGGTCAATATCCTTGACATGTGTTGTGAGATTTGCTATAAAAGGCTGAATCAACAGCGTTTTATATTAAGTTGAAAGTCCTCACTGAAAGCATTACATTACGTTAAGTATCTCAGTCAGTAATATTTAAATTTAACTCGGTGTGTTATTTAACGGTAAGTTAAGTGTTTTAAGTGTTAACAGTTTAGTAATTTATGATACGCTTTCAGAAAAAATGGATTTAGAAGCACTAAATGAGTTTCTTCTTTTAGAAGGACAACGAAAACCTATTATAAAGTTAAATAAACTTCAAATAAATACTCCATACAAAATTTCTGAAGCCAAGGTGACTGCATCGAAATTCGGAGATTCTGTTGTTTTGCAACTGGATGATAAGGTTGTATTTTTACCACCTAGATCTACCGAGGTGCTTAAAAATCATATTTTGGAATTGGGAAATGGAAGGTATTCGCTAGTATTTATTGGAGAAAAGGACACAGGCAAAGGCAATCCGGCAGCTTTATTTAAATTTATAAAATCTTAAGGTGAGTGTTAGTTTAAAATGTCAGAAAGGCTTGCTAATGATGTAAACAAACTAGTTAAAAAGTTTTATGAAAAAAATTATGATTTTACTGTTGAGGAAATTGAATCATGGCTTAAACATGTTGATATTGCAATTAGTTTATGTTTTAAAGCATTAAAAACAAAAAATTTTGAAATCGGAAATATCCGCATGTGGCAAACAAAATTAAGTCATTTAACAGTTGTTTATAATAAGCTTAAAGAATTAAAAGATAATAATTATACAATTAAATGGGAAGATTTAGCCACAGTTTATCATGGAAGGATTAAAAGTGGCGTCATAGTAAATTTAAAACATAAAGATGTTTTACAGTTTTTAAATGATGCTATGTCTTTATTTAAAACTAAAATTTTGTTAATTTTATCTAGATTTAACATAATTAAGGTTAACAGTACCTTTTGTGGCAAGTTTATAAAAAAAACAGTAGATGATGAAGAAACGATAGATTTTAAATATTTTCACACACCATATGCAATCATTGATAAATCTACTAATTTAAATGAATGGTTTTATGAATACATAGTTGATTTTATTTTAAACAAATTATCAGAGTTTCAAGAACGTGATTCAGGTTGGGCATTAAGTAAAGTAATTTCTTTAGAGATTAATATTAATAAGTATGAAATTGGAAATGGATCAAGTTATATTCAATTACCTCAACAAATTATTAATAAAAAAGCTTGTGTAAACGTTAGAAATTTTGATGAAGCTTGTTTTTACTGGAGCATAGTCAGTGCATTACATCCAGCAAATCAATCCGTTAATCGGATCAGTTCGTATCCACA